CTGGCTTGACTTGGTGACAGGCCCGAGCCAGCTCAAGCCAGGCCAAAGCCCGGGGCTCCGAGCCAAGCCAGGCCCTGCACATCACTAATCCAGTATCAGCCACTGAAGGTTGTTTTATAGAGCCTGCTGCAGCTGTAGTTAATGTCTGGTGCTCAATTTATCTACCTCACAAGCATTAACAATACACCATTGATGGATTGACAGTGTTTCTGGAGCTTAGCAATAGATCCGAAACCCCTCCCGCCATGCATCTTGGCCGTTGTGCATTGCCCGGAGGACTGTGGGATAATTTCGGGAGACTCCGAGATCCATTTTAGACACCCAATAAACTCTATACCATACCTGCAAACTATCTTGCGGATTTTAGTACTGGATTATTCGGGTAATCACAAAAGAGCGCGCAGGGAATAAAAGAGCGCGGGTCAGGAAAGCGCGGAGCTGCGGGAAAAGCGCGCTGAGTCGAAAAGCGCGCCGAATAATTATTGTGCAAACGGAACGTCATAATGATGGGCCAGTCTATGGACAGCTGGACGCCACACAAACTAAGTTCCCTCACACACTTATCCGAGCAGCGCGATGATATGAAAACTCCGAGCATGCTCTGCCCCGCCCGGGGGCCTCGGATATGACTCAAGAGGGTCAGTGGCATGCAACATCGGTGAAGATTCGTATTGCCGCCCTTCATAGTGCTAAGCAGAATATTTACTTCGGAACAATGTGATGCAGGGTCTGGCCGGCTTCCTGAAAGATATCATCTCATATGTGATCATCATGCTAGTCATCAGTATCATGCTAGTCATCAGTGGAACATCAGTTCCCGAACACTGCTTGGTTTATTTGTGAGGGTTCTCGGGCTGATAGAGTTCTGTGAAGAATGGTATAAGGTCTGCGCGAGTAGCGGGTTATGCCCTTTCTCAATGGCTCTGCTACTAGACAGCACCTATGGTGCTGCATACATTGGAATTACCATCTCCCTTGTGTACGATAAGCTTTTCAACTTCCCAACTTTTATGCTAAATGTCATTTCAGGCTGTATGGTGTAACTGCTGCACAGACAATTGAGTATTACAGGCGATATCCTAAAGATGGCCCTTTCCAGAAGGGACTAGTGAGTCCTTTGTCCATGTATATCTTACTGTTCAATAATCCCTCATGCTTTGGAACTGAGTAGGTTAGCTGTGTCTGGTTGGTGAGTCCCACATGATATTCATACTTTGGCTTTAGCTCAATCCATACAGCTGGACACATTGTATGAAGTGTTTGTTATCCATGCTCTATGGCACTATCTGGTGGAGGGCAAAGGCAATAAACTGCCACTCTTGAGTGCTAACTGGTAAGCCAACCTTAGATCTAAAACTACTGCATGGTCTAACAACTAGTTCAGGAGCCTCATTGTAAGCAGGCTTGTAGTGTGCATAGGGACTTGTACTAAGTTGACTTTCCTGACCATTGTTAGTCCCAAGTAGTGGCAGGGGTAGCTACCTTTTGTCTATGTGATGACTGATGCTCTGAACAGACTGTTTTCTCAGGAGATTGTCATTGTTATAGTTGAATGGTCAGTACCAGCTTTAAGAGTCTCATAATTTCATTGGCTCACTGAAATCATGGACACAGCTTCTTTATATATAGAATTACAAGGTGTAAGTTTACTCCATGGCCATACCAACGCAACATCCTGAACAGTACTATTATCCACAGTTGGTGGCATAAAGTGGCTCTCAATCTTAGTGGGTCTCTTAAGATGACAGCAATTTAAACAACACTCAGACAGCCAATAGTTCCTTCCTTCTCTTGCTAATTTTGGTCAGTGCTGCTAGGAAGTCAGGATTACACATAACTAACTTGGCTTGCTGCAGGAGTTGGCCTGGGTGGGTCCAATATCAATATTAGTCTCCAGCTATATTGACATTACTCTGCCACAGCCTATGCTGCCAAGTGGTATGTGCTTACCTTTAGCATGCAATGATACCTAGAGTAACTCCTTGACCTGCTCAGCTATCGCCTACCACAATTCACTTATGCAACCCATGACAAGGTGAGTAAGGTCATCAGTCACCACTTCTCACTCCCTCTCATATTTCATCTAGTGGTTGATATGTTTGGGTGGTGGTCTGAGGGCCGTAATTGCCTTGGCTATAGCTGTTATCATGTGTTGCCAGCTGCATAAGAGAGGAGAGGTGGGGCTCCCAACTACAAGGTGTTTGGCACTTCCAAAGGTCTTAGCTGTGATTGATGGGGACTACTTGCCAGAGACCTTGTTGGTAGGCTTGTGACTTATGCAGTGAGCACAGGGATTTTGACAAGGTGTGTGTTACATGGTTTATATTTCCATATGGATTTTCTTGAAAGCACTATTCCTAGCTTGTTCTCCTGTGCATATGTTTTTGTGGTCTGTCCTCCATTCCTAGCATCATCCAAGTGATCATTCCACTGAAGAGACATCCATAGTATGTGGCAGCACCAGAGGAAATGTACTATATTGCTTTGTATGCCATTGATGTAAAAAGTATGGTATGGCTTTGTTATCATTACGTCCTGACGCACCTGATCATTATATCTCCTCAGTGTATGTGAACTCTATGATGGCTGTGTAGGTCCAGAAGTTCATGTAACCTAGCCATTTTACTCACGATGTCTACAACTAGTTTAAATGGTCGTCAGGATCTTCGCAAGATCGCCGGAGCACACCCTAATGTCTGGAACAGTGAATAGTCAGTATGGAGCAACTCTGCATTTGCATTGTCGCACCTCCACTTGGAATCCGACAGTTTGTGTTAAGCATGTTGGTAATGCAGCCTGTCTGCTACGATGCTTCTTGAATTTGATTATCCATCCGGAACGGCTTTGACGTACCTGCATAGGCTGAAGTGAGAGGAGCGTGCAGGATACCATGACACCCTAAGTCTGAAGCGAACGAAGCAAGTTCACCTAATTCAGCCTTGGACAAAAGGCGATATCTCTCGCAATCATGCATAGGACAATGTACCTCAGGCTAGTCAATGAGCTTGGATGGGACTTCAACTCGGGAACATCCCAGCACTGAGTCAACGTTGTTCCCAATCCGAAGCGCGATTATATATGTCACATACTGCAGATGACCGTGTCTGAAGATCTGATATCCCGCCCCAGGGCATCGTGGAATCGAAAAATTCAATATTCAAGCATAGAGCGAAAGTTCGAGGATATCAGACGGAATTGGCTTGTCTCTCACGGCTACCATCTCCCATACCGTTGCCATACCGTATCGCACTTCGACGCCGATCGAGACTATGCAGACGGACCCACAAGGATCTGCGTCGTTCTCTGCTGAATCTTATTTCGCGACGCAGCCTGCACCAGCATCTTTAGATAATGACCGGCAACGGGTCCGCGCTTTCGTGCGCAGGCAGTCGGAGCAGGGGAATAAGGTGGTCCTGGTGACGGTGAGCGCGCCCTGACGGACGCCATTGGTATTATTATTGCTTAGCTCAGTTCTGGTGGATAGAGTGGAGGAACGACGGTCCCGCTAGAGCGCAATATGTGAGCTCATCGCACGCATGATCGCGAGGCTCGCATATGACGGCTTGTGCGCATTTCAGGGTACGGTTCTTGGACAACTTCAGTGCAGGTGCGCCGTTACGACGATGAGAGAGTGATCTTGTCTGAGCTATTGCCCAGGCACTCGAGGAGCTACCTCTGCGGAGTACTTTCTGAAGGCGGGCTACGCTGTCATATTCATGCACCGCCAATTCAGCTTGCAACCGTTTAGCAGACACTACTCGCACTCCACCAACCCCTTCCTTGACTTCCTCGAGATCGAGCACAAGCCTGCACCGAATGAATCCTTATCCACCACGCCCGAAATCACTGTAACGCCGGAGAAGAGAGAGGACCTGCTTTCAGTGCTGACGGCTTACAAGAAAGTACACCGTGATGGGACAATGCTAACTCTATCCTTCGTGACGGTGAACGACTACTTGTGGCTTCTGAGGGGTGTCAGTGAAGAACTGTCTGAAATGGGAAGGGATGCGATGTACTATCTTGCTGCAGCGGTCAGCGATTTCTTTCTGCCGAGACAGAAGATGGTGAGGGCGCAGTCCATTGATCGGGAATCCTTGCTTGACTCCGTCATTATAGTCCGAACATAAGATCCAATCCGGGAAAGGCAGCCTTCATATTGAGATGGATCAAGTGCCCAAGATATTGAAACCCATGGTTGACGAATGGACCAGGGAAGGATTTATCGTCTCGTTCAAGGTTCGCACGGCTTGGATACTTGAGCCTTGGTCCTTTGGACTTACGAAGCACATCAGCTGGAAACCGATCCTCAACTGCTGCTGCCGAAGTGCCGTCAAGCCCTGGAACGATACGGTCATCAGGTAGTGATCGGCAATGATCTGAACCGTAGGAAATTCGAGGTTGTCTTTGTCTCTCGCATTGCCCCAAAGAAGGATCCGGCGCATCCTGCGGCCACCAATATAGACGACGATACATTCACAGAGTCGTGGTTGCGCTTGAGCGAGAAGGATACGCATACCCGAGAGATCGAAGAAGACATAGTGAACGAGCTAGTGAGACGGCATCGAACGTGGATGAACAACGGTCGGTAGCTCAAGTAGTATACCTAATAAAGTGGCGTATGTTTCTGTGACTCGAGCCGGATGCCTGTCGCATGCGTATACCTGCTAGACGCACTCGAGCAGCGCTATCGTTGCGGTCCATTCATCTTTGATTGTTCCTCTTGTGCGCACCAGCCAGTCGCGCGGGACATTCACTGGGACGACTACTAACATATCGATTTTTGAGAACCCGCTATCTGAAAGCACCTTTTCCTCAGAGGTCGGCCTATGTCTGGAATATAATCAGAATAAGAAGGCATCCATTATGGTCGTTGGATCTATATGACCCTCAAGTCGTGAATACCGAGTCCCAGTCATGATGCATGATGTGGCATGATGTGGCACGGTGTGGCACTTGCATCTGGTAGCGTGCGAATCGAAGTCTCCCGAAGTGCACATGGTTCCCACACGGGCTGTCGTCGTCTTTCCTCGCGATCGTCAGTCTCAGTCTGCAGCCAGTCTCCAGGAGGTCTTCGCCAACGTCGAGCTAGGCAGCGCCGAACGCTCAGCCCCCCTGCGTACGCGTAATTCTGCGCTTTTTCCGGTCGTCTAATATGACATGAGCTCTTCATCTAGGGACCGTCGTATGCAGCGCTCGATCAAACGTGCCCGACGGCGTCGACTTCGAGCATCCGTATGTTGACATGGGGCCTTGCACTAGCGTCGGCCAGCCTTTCAGCCACCGCTCGCCCAAGCGTTGGCTTATGTCTGCCGAGATGGTCGTCCCGTATCTGGTCCCTTAAGAAGAACTCGTCTAGCGCATCTTTCACGTTATCGGACAAAACGCCAGCCAGGAAAATGGTCGAAGAACACCCGTATCCACAGACCTCTCCAGATACCTCCCTTTTTGAGGAGGCTACTCCGGAATATCGTGTAAATCGGTTCGCGGTGTCACAGACTCCAGGCGACGTAGACTACGCGCAACAGTTTCCTTGCTATCCACTGTATCGCGCCATGGTTGAGCGCAGATACGTGGATGGTGATCGGGTCCGCTTGGACTTGCTGAAGATGGGTGTGACTATCAGGCCGGACACTATCTATGCCTATCCCGCTTTGCACGCTCTCAAGTTCGCATCCGAGCCTCATCGCTTTGAAGCCTTTTCTACATGGCTATCCCTCCTACCCGAACGTTCGTATGTCGTCCCGGAGGAGACTTTGGACCCGCTCCGGTCAATAGTAAATATACTGGCGCGAAATCTGGACCGGGCAGGCCCTTTGTCCCCCCCGGATTTGCGCCCCGCCATGTATTTCGCCGTCGTATGCGTCTCGAAAGGATACAACCTCGGCTTTGCAGGAACATGCCTTTGGAGAATCATGCGGTTAGCCGATTCTGAAACTGCTGTTGCTTTTCTGCAGGATCTCGTCGCGGCGTACAAGAAAAACACCACACAAATAGATCCCGGCCGGATTGCAGATTGGTATACACGTTCTATCAGAATTCAATGTATCGCAGGGCGGTACGACGCGTGTTTCAAACTCCTGAAGATTGCTCTTCAACAAAGGATCCCAGTTCCCATCAGTGAAACGCTGTCTTACATCTTAGGCAGGCTGAAGGCGAGGGGTCAGATGGACGTCCTCGCTGATGTTGCACCCAACATGTTCAAGCCTGAATACGCGTCGTCGTTTAGCACCGCGCAATCGAAGAAGCTCGCCCTGGCTGATACCCCATTAACCCCAGATATCGGTATCGTCAAACAACTGCGCGAGCTCCGTATAGCTTTGGGATCATCCACGCCTCCTAGGGCCACAGCCATAGCTAGCTTTCTCCTGGCGTACAGATCTCTCGGCAGAAGTCGCGCTTGTATCCTACTTCACGGCAAAGCCATGCGACACAAAGCCACCATCCGTGGGTGGGTGATGGCTGAAATGATCTACCACTTGGAGATGGGTAACCCTCTTGGGGCTCTGGTGCGGTATAATCGCGTTTTCAATCCGACAATCATCGCGAGGGAGAAGATAGAGAGTGTTATAAAGGAGTACGCGCCCGCCGAACGTCGGTTCTTGAGAACCCAAGAGCCTCAGGACAAACTGGATCCCAGCCCTGCCGACACCGTATATGCATGGACTGCCTTGCTACGCCTGTGTCGACGGAAGGAGGAAAGGGAGGATCTGTATGCTTTTATGTTAAGTAACGCCGAAGCCACAATGCGACAAACACCGGAGTCCATGACAGACGTCCTTCAGGTTGAGGATGAATCTCCTGATACGTCGTCCCCGGAGACCCCTAATCTGCCACTGTCGCGACTGGAGCGTCCAGTGCCTGCTACCGCCGGCCCCGGCTTGATTCTACACCCCTTTTACTTCGTTCCCTTCATAAAGGAGTTTGGGTATTACGCAGGACCCGACCGAGCTTACAGGGTGTTCAACGATATGGCAGAGTTCGGGCTTCGAGCGGACAGCTACTGCGCCTCTGCCGTGATTGAGGTTTACGCGAGATATGGGCGATTAACCAAAGTCATTGAAATGCTTGATAGGTGGGAACGCCAGGGCGTTGTGACCAGAGCGGCGGTGAGGACAGACGTGTCGTACCCTCTGGCCGAGGCACCTAGTCTCGCGGTGTACACGGCCATCATGCAGGGATTGGTGAGCTACCGCGCCACACGGGGCGCCCTCCTAATCAGGGAGCGACTCGTAGAGAAGTTTAACTATGTCTACGGCACCAACCCTCATACCGATCGCGTGTTCGATGTGCACGACAAGCTAATGCTCCGATGGCAGAAACGTGTAAGTTATTCGATCAATTGTCTAGTCACAGCTGACGACCATGTCTAGCTTCGGAAGAGGCAAGAGCCTGAGCTAAGTCAGGCGCAGCAGTTGGGCTCATCACGGACTATACATCCGTCCACCGTCCAACTCTCGTGAAATACCGACAAGACTGGCTCGACTATGCTACCATCTTTATCTGCATGCAGCCAGGATGTTGAGCGCAAAACGATTCCGCTAGGCCCCCTTGCACCACCGGGCGACGCCCAAATACTGCTTTTCTAGCCTGTTCGACGAGGCTGCTGGGGGTTGCACGACCGCTGGCAGCCAAGTCTCATGCTGCCATCATGCTAAAGAACAGATGTGTTCGGTATAGCAACAATTATGTTGACACGGACATTCCAGTTGCAATGTTCGACTTGAAAGTATAAGGTATATGGAAAAATTAATGCTACTGTACAGTCCAACCTGTCTGTTCATAGATAGAGTAAGTCAGGGGTAGTGCGTACGACGCAGATATGCATCCAAAGGCTGGAAGAAGAAATATGGGTGGAATGAATGAAAGTGAAAATGGGTCAGGCAGGCGAGCACATTACAAACTGAAATCAATGACTGCAAACCGTCCGTTCATTAAGCTCGAATATTAGTATACGCCGGAGGTAACTCGACTGTCTCCGGCTCATCCGGCGCGATGTCGGGCTGCGGCGGCGGGCCAGCATCCTCATGCTGCACGATATTGACAGGCTTCAGCTCCGGCGGTCGTGGCGATTTTCGAGTCCCACGCGAGCTGGCACCCGCCGTGTGCGGCGCCAGAGTACTCGTCGCGCCCAGCGACGTGGTCGACGCTCTCCTACTCCCGGCGCCCAACGCTGACGCAGCGCCGTGCTCTTGAGCACCTACTGACGAGGCTTCGGTGGGATCAGGGAGTACAAAGGGCTCAGGGCGGTAGTACGCCTGTTGCGTCTCGGGTGCGTTAGGGTCGTTAGGGTCTTCGTGGAGGAGATCGACTTGGCGCTTGTTGTGGAAGCGGCGACGGCGGAAGAAGAAGAGGCCGAGCAGAGCGAGTACGATGAGACCGACAACCCCTCCGATCACACCACCTATGAGAAAGAGGTGAGCAGGCAACCTCTATACACGAACGTAGGGTTATACGTACCGACTATGGCTCCCACATTGGTGCTTCCGGGGTGCGAGGGGTGTGAGCTTGGCAAGACCCAGGCAAAGTGCAAGACTTACTGGCTTCCACTACCATTACCATCGCCACTGCTCCCTCCTCCGCTGGTACCCGCACCACTCGTACTTGTGGGATAACTCCCGCCAGCTGGTGAACCCGGCGTCGACGAGGGCGAGTTGTTGTTTAAGCAAGAGCCATCGTTGTTCGAGCCCGATTGAACTGTGAGGGGGACACTCCCGCCGACGCCGAACCCGCGGTTATCACCACACGTCAGGAGCACCTGCGTACCGCCCCGAATAGACGGTGTCCAACTAAACCCAGCGCCCGTGCCTACTACATTCGTGATTGGCCCCTCGGGGATGGCGAACGACTCGCCACCAGGGATCACACCGAAAAAGTATGGGGTCCTACGCGTCATGTAAATCAGCCGTGGAGGTCTGCGTCGGCGAGGCAACGTACCCTTGAGGATCTCCTTGATCCCACCATAACCGCGTAGCTTGACACTGCACTAACTGATTTGGCGGGTCGATCTTGAACGTGAAATCGGGGCTGACGTTGGTGCTTGCGTCGTAGCAACTGGCATCGTCGCTCTGGAGAACGGTCGCCGCCACACTGGTACCACCGCTACCAAACCCCGTGCTGTCGCTCATCTGCCCGCAAGATCAGTCCGCGCTCAAGGACAGGTGCAAAGCGGCATACCACCGCCACGAACTGCGAGTTCGTGGGATACTTGAGTTGCAAAGAGGTCGACGTGTCCGTAAAATTCTGCTGGATGATCCTGCGTGCTTCGACATTATTGGGGAGGGGAGACGCTCCGAAAGGAATGATGAGGAGAGAGTAAGGGGGTGAGCCCGACCCGGTAATCCGAACGTCGAGGTTCTGGCATTGCCTCGGCGTACTCGTGATGTTGAAGGAATAGGAGGCGACCGCTGCGGGGTATAGGAGAGCGCATGTCACCGCCAACAGGGGGGAGACGAACATGCTCAGCGTCAAGACGGAAAACAGTGCTCCACCGGCAGGTCGATGCAGGGATGCATGAACGAGTGAGAGACGAGAACTATGACACAGCTGATGCGCTAGGCAATTTGCGATGTGATGTGACTGTCACTTGTTTCACAGCGGCGGAGTCCGGCACTTTCGCTGCTGGTTTCTCGATGGAGAACACTTGCGCATAAGCCTTGATATAAGGTTACAAAGATGCAGATGCGACATAGGCCTGAGCAGCGAAAAATGTGATCTTCCAGTGTCCTCCCTCCGAGCTATTGGACGGACACTCACGAAGATCTTGGATTTCAAGAAAGGAAATCGGAGCCCACGCGTGATTACCCCAGACGTAACCCGGAGAACGCGAGTTCCTGTGAGTTCATACGAAGCACAACACCCAAGGCACGTCGCACGATCTTGGTTCGATGAGGAGAAGGTTTGGGGAGCTCAACGGAATCCCATGAGAGGTATATCGAGTGCTGGGCATGTTCGCGGGAGAAGACTGAAATAGCAGACAAGTCCGCAGCAAGCCCGGAATTATTGGGAATCGCATACCTGTGGACGGAGCTACGACGGATAACCACAATACTGGCACGTCAGCTTGAAATTGTTGTGGCAAGCGGGCTATTAGCCATCAAAAGGACGTTGAGCCCCTGCGAACATTAGTACCTGAGTAACTGCTGGTGTAAATGTTTCTGTGTCTGCCAAAGGTATTTATTCTGCGGTTAGAAAGCCAGGAATTCTCGTCCTGTGTGATAGTTGTATCCACAACGGTGCAAAAAGGTGAGAGCATGCGATACTGGCAACCACGAATTAACATAGCCCATAGTTGCGAGACTGAGCAGGGCGTACAAGCTCACTTTCCGGCGGGCATCCAACGATATCGGAGTCCCGGTATGTAATCCTCATACGATGCGTCATCATAGAAGTTAGAGTTTGAGGCCCGGTAAGTCATCCGTCTGTGGCATAGCGCTATCTCACTTACTCACATTGATAGCTCATTTATCTGGCGATGTGTCCCAGCTTCTCGAGTCACCATTGGACGAGGGTATCTAAGCTGGCGTGTTCACAGCATCAGGTTACCGTTCTGGACACAAAACCTCGACCCCGGGCCTGTCTGTGGAGGCCTTGAGCGGTCCTCGGATGTATGCGCCATGCATTGGAAATTATCACTCAGGCCAAACCCGCTCCTCACCTCATTGTATGCGCCCTCTTTCAGCTGCATGCGCATCTCGCGTCGAGTTACCGATGAATCCGGTCGGCACCTGCATCTCCCCTGATTGCATGACGTGCGTTCTCTTACGATTCGAGAGGTATATGCGCGCATTGCCTCGTAGGCAAAGGATTCGTTCTTTTTTCGCAGGAGCATGCCGCATCTGCTACTTCACCGACCTATGACCCCCCGACAGCCCCCGTAACTCCCTGCCAGCCCAGACGGGCGGGCCGCTGCTGCGGGCATCAGCTTCGTAGACTTATCTGGCAATCTACACTGCCACGCACCGCATAACGCCCGGAGGCTTTCGCGTCTCGGAGACGACGCCCACAAGGACCTACAACGCGCATCAAGCGGGGTTTTCACTTTATGCACTGTCGGGCTCGACGACGGGGGGCGACTGAGAGGTGATGGTCGGCGCTGAGCGGTGACTGTCGGCGTCCAGTGGCAAGCCGGGAGATGCCGATGTTTGTTTGGTCCTCGATCCGGCCCCAATAAAATACGGTTCAAGCAGGGGTATCCTTTCACCTTCGTCCTGGTTGACGACGACGACGACGAACACGACGGATATCCTATACCACACTTCTAATCTTCATTCTATACCATCATTACACCTATTTCTCCTACTCTCTTTTAATAATGTCTGCGCCGAACAGCCCGCCTCGCGCACCCCCCATCAAGTATTCAGCGCCCCTCGGGACCCGCTGGCAGAAGGAGAAGGCCGCAGCTGGACACAATGCTTTTGATTTGCCGGACGACCCGAAGTACGTTGGCCCCTGGGTTATCGGCGAGTGCGTAGGGAAGGGCGCCAGCGGGCGCGTCAAGATCGCTAAACATCGCCGTACGGGCCAGCTTGCTGCAGTGAAGATTCTGCCGCTCCAGCCTATAGTCAACTCTCGCGCCTCCCTTGCGACTCAGCAAGCCAAGTCGGAGAAGCAGCGGCTCGGAATCGACAGGGAGATTACTATGATGAAACTCATGAACCACCCGAATATCATGCGCATATACGATGTCTACGAAGGCGACAAGGAGCTGTATCTTATCTTGGAATACGTTGAAGGAGGAGAACTGTTCGATTACCTTGTCAACCATGGTAAACTGCGCACCCTTCAGGCTCTGGCGTACTTCAAGCAGATTGTCTATGGTCTCAACTACGCTCACACCTTTGCGATCATTCACCGGGACCTCAAGCCAGAGAATATCCTCATCCAGTCGTTCAACCCTCCTCTCATCAAGATAGCTGACTGGGGTATGGCTGCTTTCGCTCCTCCCGATCGACAACTGGATACTAGTTGCGGTAGCCCTCATTATGCGAGCCCTGAGATCGTCAATGGATCGAAATACGAAGGTACTGCGACCGATATCTGGAGCTGCGGCGTGATCTTGTTTGCTCTGGTGACTGGTCGGCTTCCTTTCGACGATAAGAACGTCCGGACGCTACTCAGCAAAGTCAAAGTGGGAAAATACGAGGTACCCGCCTACGTCGACCCCCAAGCGAAAGACCTTATAACCCGTATGCTGGTTGTGGACGTCGCTAAGCGTATCACCGTAAGGTTTCGTGTTTGTATCCCATGGCTTCTCCCGCTAAACGTCTTGCCGCAGATGCCCGAAATCCTGGCGCATCCTTGGTTACAGAATGACACTCCTGGTATCACCTATCTGCCTGCACCTTCTCTGGCGGAACTTGCTCAACCATTGCTGTCACCCGCCCACGTCGACCGGGAACTCTTGGAATCTTTGCGCGTCATCTGGGGCAAAGGTGCGGATGTTCAAGTTATCAAAACCGATCTCCTCAGCCCGCCTGGTTACGGTTCGTTGGCTAAAGCCTTCTATTTCTTGCTTCAACGGCACCGCGAGTGCGCTCTCCAGGAGCGTGGAATTCTCATGGACATACAAAACGAACAGGGGAAGCAAGAGAAAGCCGTTATGAAGCCCTATACGGTTCCTTCTCCCAAACCAAAGGCGTCCCTTACCTTGGATATCGACAGCATCATCCATCCTCAACGTCTCCGACCTGTTCGCATGGCGACTGCTCCGCCTGTGGCATATGAACAAAAGAATGTCGCTTTAAATCTGAATGTCTCAGCGGCTCCTCGTTATAAGCCTAACTCGCCGGTCGGCCCAAGACCTAGACCTACTTCTTCTCCCCTGGGCTCTCGCACTCACTCCAGTCACTCAGCAATACCTGTGCCGGTTCCTGGGATTATACGACCTCACATAGAAGCACCTGCTATGGCCCGAAATTCGACCGCTCCGGCCGCTGCTCCTGCCTATGCTGAACCTGACGTCTTCACGTCTAGTCCGATCAGTATGCCGGCTCGTCGGTATGCTCCCGCATCTGTTCCGCACGTGTACCACGATTTCCCTCTCATGTCTGCCCCGGCTGGTGGCCGCGGAACACCTCAGTCTCCGTCAGGATTCGTGCATGCCCCGATTCCCCAGTATCCTGAGACTGGTGGGTCTATGCCAGTGCTTGCTGCTAATCGGGTGACTGCTGCCGAGATGGAGAGCCACCTGTATTATCCCGTCTCGGACGCCAACGTCTTGGCACCACGCGAGAACACAGCGCCCGCGCATCCTCCGGTGTATCAGCCAGAGTACGAGTGCAGTCAGCAGTACTCCACGCCGGGACACGCCCATGGTCACCCGTACGCCAGGACTCAGCCGTACCTTTCCGAGTACTCCGGTCGGAGTCAAAGTCAGGACTGGGTGGTATCTTCGCCCGACGGGAACGGGTATCGAGAGGATCTGGCGTACAGCGAGAACAAGGAGAACCGTGGCGGCAACGTTAATCCCATGCAAAGCTCAGGAGGGCTTGGTTTCGGGAAGGTGAACGCCGGCGATGTCAAGAACCATGGCTCCGGGCATGTTGCCTTCTCCGCCGAGGTCGGGAGAGAGCGTAGGGAGCGTCGTCAACGCCGTGAGTGTATCGTTCTCATTGCTGAGAGTTGCTGAATCCTTACCTATCGCGCATCGTAGCTCCTCCTCTTGATTTCCAGGCGCCACCTATGTCGCGACGGTCGACGTTCTCCTCGTCTACTAAGGCGTCACCGTTGATGTCACCTCACTCGGGCTCACCTGTAGTGGGCGAATTCAAGGGTTGGTTCTCCAATCTCTTCAGCTGGAAGCAAAGTTATATTCTGTATTCTGTGAACGACCTGTTCACCGCGCAGCGAGAGACTATTCGGATACTCGAGCAAGCAGGCGTGTTCGTTATGATGGAGGACTCGGAGGGCGTCGGTATCCTCAAGTGTCGCATGGACGATATCACCGATTCTATGGGCATCGTGTTACAGAAGTCCGTCCGGTTCAGAGTCGAGTTCTCGGGTATCCCTGCCAGCGGCGTGCTCTCGGCCCACCAGCAGCGCTTGCCGCCTTCGCAGGTGCCCGTGTCTTCATCGAGAATGAGCTCGCATGCTAGCTCGATGCTGGCCAAGAACAGTCTGAAGAATCTCGCGGGTATGGGGTATGCGTGCGCGCTTGTGCTGATCCAGGAGAAGGGCGCGGTGTCGACGTTCAGGCTAATTTACAAGCGGTTGAGGGAGGAGTGGAGGCTGGACGGTATCCATTCGCCTATGCTCGGCGGGGGTTCGGCCCTTATGGACGGGGTGCAGAGGGTGATGGCTTGAATGGTTGGCCCGGGGTGGGCTTGTTGCATTCCTCTATCCCCATAGACTATATACTATACCCACATAGATTCTGTGTGAACACGCTACCATATTTTATGATACAGTGTACGGTAATAAAGGAAGGCTAGCTTTTGCAGCTAATTGTACGTATGAGACTCAGATGTTGGCGGCTCTGTTACGGTAATAAAGGAAGGCTAGCTTTTGCAGCTAATTGTACGTATGAGACTCAGATGTTGGCGGCTCTGTTACTTCAGAGTCAGACGCAGTATTGCATTGGTATTGCATGCATGCATGCCATCAGCAAATTGTCCCGCGGCTGGTAGTGGCTGGCGCATATTCCAGTTATTTTAGCACGTCTACAATTGCATTACCAGCCGAATACCAGACTTGTATTTATGATAAGCGAAGCGCCTGCTGAGATACACTTAGCTAACCTATCTCTACCGTGCCCAGTCATCGTCGGACAAACGTCGGATTTTGCAGAGATCCACGTAATTCGGCTTACTAGGACTATGTCTTACCTCGATTGCGTCCGAGCGTCGCCCCTTGGAGCATGCTCATGCCCTCCGTCATCGTCATCGGCATATTCAACATTGGCCGCCATGCTATTCTCGTGTACATCATTACAAAGAGCGGCTTGTCTCTGCGTCGCGCCTGCAATACTGTCTCACTCTCGCCACTCAGCATAAACCTTCGACATAGAACGAAATCATGAGCGGTGAGTTGACCACGTGGCTTACGACCGGAGTCGCTGTTGTAGCTCATGATGGATGGGTTAGATCCGAAAGATACAAGGGTTTCTTGGGATCTTCAAGAGCAGGAGCACAGCGGACCTCCGACGCCTGCCGAGAGGAAGCTACAGCTGAGGAGAAAGGCTACTCGAAAGTGAGCCGCAGCACATCAATCCACGCGCTTCGTAGCTAACCAGCATACTAGGGAGTCAGCGAAACTCTCCTCAGTTTACCTCGGTCTGTCTCTGCGTGTCCGCGATCATGAGGTCGAATACGCCGTAATCGTCCACGATGGGATGGGTTCAGTCGGATCCGAACATGATATTCGCAAATTGCAAGGGGACGGAAAGCAAGATGTGATGGATCAGATTCTCGACCGGGCAAAGGAGTACTCACAAGCGCGGGGGCATAAGGTGCGCAGGGCGAATGCCATCACAGCTATTCTGGCCTAATTTCGTAAACCTACCGACTCCAGATAGAAATCTTGGCTATCTGCGGGCCGCTTGACGCACCGCTCAAAGTGCCCGCTGCAAACATTGACATCGATCGGGACGCCCCGCAATCGTTCCTGTCGCGTATCTGGCTGGAATTGGACGCTGTCCCTTTTGTTGTTAACTGCCGCGACACTCAATTCAGTCTGGAAGGCGAGGCGACGTTGGCAGTCGAGAAAGCGCTCGAATGGCTCGCGCCGACAGCGAAATCCATTGTCAAAGCCGGCGCCGACCCTCGTAACAGAGAGGTTCAAGGTACGCCCGCGAGCACTCGTCTATTGCTTCCCAAGGGATGCATGACTTCAACACTAACACGACTTCCCGTCATAGTTGATGCAAACGGCCGGATACGCCTGTACGATCTACATGAACAAGCTGCATTGACATCTCCCGGACTTTGGGAGACCTTCTCTGCGTTAGCCACATTAATCAAGCAGGCCGGGGTTAGGGTTACGTTCCTCTCCGCTACTCCTAGAGGTGGCGGGGTTGCTCTTATGAGGCACGCACTGATTCGGTTATGGCGTAAGTTACTGCAGTTGTACGTGATTATATACAAGGTGTTTGATACTGGATTCGTTGATAGGTCTCGCTGGCCTGGATGTGCACTGGTACGTCCCACAAGGAGATGCTTCGGTGTTCGACATCGTGAGTTACACATGTTTCGGTTTGCGACACATTTCCTGATATAATGCACATCCTAGACGAAACGACGCTTTCATGTGCGTTCAATTCCCCTGAGCCGCCTATGTGTGCCGTATTGACCAGTAGTTCCGCAGAACGTCCTGCAAGGCGTGAACCCGCCTGACGTGGAGCTTCGGGAAGGCGACAAACACATGTTTGAGCGCTGGACGGACTGGAATTACGAGAAGTACTGGCGTGGGCCTGACAATCCTGTGCGGGCTGACATCGTAGTCATCGATGATCCCCAAGGTACGTCCGAGCCAGGGGCTCGTCGACAACACCTCGAGCTGATTATATGCGCCGGAATAACATAGTGACCGCTCTGATACCGCACATTAGGCGTGACAGCCCGAAGACGAAGATCATTTATCGCTCCCATATCGAAAGTACGTCTGTCTCCCTCCTGAATAGACCGGTCGGTGGCTGAACCTCTGTTTCTCAGTCCGCAGTGACCTCGTCGATGCCGGCGTCCACCCACAGGTCGATGTCTTCAACTATCTCTTCAACTTCATCAAACAAGCCGATTTGTTCGTCTCCGTGCGTCGTCATGCCGTCCCTGAGCTTCCAGCTTTTTCGTGCTTATGCCGTCCACGTCGCTAGCATCCCATCAAGGAGTTCGTGCCGAAGGTCGTCAATGAGACCATGCCTGTAGTCTACATGCCTCCCTGTACAGATCCCCTTGACGGCCTGAACAAGCCCATCCCTGAGGAGATGCTGCAAGTCTACCGGCACATGTTTAGTGACTTGATTGGCGCTTCGACGGGCCAGGTATGCAGATATTTCGCGCCGCCAACAGCAATCACATAACCACTGCGCTGTTAGACTATCGATTGGCAGAGGGGTTATATCCTGCAGGTTGCCCGGTTCGATCCGTCGAAAGGTACATCTCGTCCGAAAGCAGAGGAAGTGAATGTGCTGATGCCGGTATGGTGTAGGTATCCCGGACCTTGTGGAGGGCTACAGGCTTTTCAGGGAGGAGGTCAAGAAGCAGGGCATGATGAAGAACGCGCCGCAGCTTATATTGGTAAGCTGCGCCCTCAGTCAACTCATCACGTTGCGCAAAGTTCTCATACATCTCGGAATTGTAGACTGGTCATAGTAGCATCGATGATCCGGATGGCACCTATATTCTGCATAAACTGCAAGACACACTCTGCAGCGAGCCATTCAAGGACATCAAGGATGATATTTTCGCTGTCCGAGCACCTGCCGAAGGTAAGCTCTCGTGATTGATTGACGAATGTCAGCAGGCTGACCACCGCAGATCGCCTTCTCGACGCGCTTATGCGCGGGGCGGATGTCGCGTGCCAAGTCAGCACTCGCGAAGGGTTCGAGATTAAGGTCACGGAAGCTATCCACAAGACTCGCTGGGTGATCGCCACCAAGGCTGGTGGTATACCCCTGCAGATTCGGGACGGCGTTGACGGGACGCTCGTTCCTCCCGGTGACCCGCAGTCCATCGCTCAAGCGCTGGTCAATTTCTACACTTCCGGGAAGGATATCAAGAAAACCGGTGAGTCGCGTGGTAATGAGACGGTCAGGCCCCTCGGTGGCAGGTGGGATGATCGTGGTGAGGGACCACGGGAGGAATTGTTCACTGTCGGTAATGCGACTATGTGGCAGGTATGCGAGGTTCGTCCTTCTGGTAGAACGCGAGGCTTACTTCCGTTCAGTACCTCTGGTGTCGCGTCCTCGGCTTGAGCACCGAGCACTGCAAGCACTTGCCCGAGGTACACAAGCAGCGTCTTGACACTCTGGGGCTGAATCACAAAGAAGATATACGGCAGCTGAAAGGAAGGAAGGTCTGGGATATCTTATCCGAGAGGAAACACTGAATATAGAGACATGATGGACACCGCTGGAAGAAGTGAATCACAACTGGAAGATGGGTGTATGATAAGAACAGTATGTTTACATATTATGCTAATAGCTAGTATTTATCAACAAGGTATGGAAAGTTCCGAGAGAAGCATATACAGAGTGGTATAATGCTGGATTGTGGGTACAGACTGATATGTATGTAGGTACAAACAGGGCAAGTATGAGCCGTACCCATTACAACAGAATCTTTCAGCATTCCACAGTCGGTGGCTATTGTGGCCAAGATAATGAAGACTTAGGATGTTCAAGGGCCCGGAGGATATCATCCATGATATCTTCATATGGGGCGAAGGCTTTGTTGAACTCTTCCTGTGTTCTTGGTGAAACCTCTGTCTCCGGAGCTGCAGATTTGGAGGTGGAATATGCTTCTTGAAATACTTGATATAATGGATGTGGAGCAGGCCTCGGATCTTTTCTGTCGGCACTCGGAGAAGTACTGGATGACCTTGTGTGGTCCACTTCCCTGGAGTGGTAGGCCAAGCAATGATTGTCAGCTTCCATACCATCAACTCCGGAGCCCACATGATGATCTTCGAGCTGAGTCTGTGGGAGCTCTGGTTTCTCCACAACACCTGCATCAACAAAAGCTTCAACAACTTGGTGATATTCCTGTGGATGCAAAGTCTTCTCAACAGCCATAAGGAAATCACGAGGATTGACCCGGTAGTTAAAGGATGGTTGCAAGGTTGACAATTCAGTTTCTGGCACGGGTTCTGGTGTTGTGGAGTGAGATGGAGTAGGCAGTTGAACATGATGTGTTGTCTCTGATTCGATGACAGGAGAACCGCCAAATGCATCATAGCCTTGTGCAGCAGGAAGTGGTACAGTGAGCTGTGGTGGCTCTTGCGGTTCAGTCTTGACAGGAACACTTTGCTTGATCTGGATATAGATCCGTATAGCCTCAGGACTGATGTCGAGTGACTTTCCCAAGTACTGGATTTGCTCAAGGGTAGGTCTGGGTTCTGTAGCCAGGAATAGCTCCAACCGAGCTATAATATCCGGGGTGTACTCTGCAATCAAATGTCAACATCACAATGACGCGGTCGCGTCCAGTCTAACTCACGAATTTGCTGATGCTGATCCATGCCACCATATGTGGCCCCACCATGTCCATCCTGGGTTGACGGCCCAGCTGAAGCAGAGTGCTCATTCCGAAGCTGCGACGCTGCTTTCCTCTTTGCATTAGTCTTCTTCTGATAGAAGAAGTGCTTAAGCCTGTCGTCGGTATACCAGTCGACACCCATCGCGGCTATTTTCTGCAGCATATCATCTCGTTCCACCGCAAGAGGTAGAACTTGATTCCGGCGCCAATACTCTGCATGTCCCACAATCCCCAAAGCATTAACTAACGAATCAAGGCGATCTGAATAGAGGCACTTCACCATTCAGCAGTTTGTATGCAGGTGGTGGAAGGCGCTGCCTGCTTTCTTTCTTTAGTTTTGGCGCCTCGGCTGCATCTTCCACGATCATTGATACGCTGTCTGTAGGCGCCTCCGAGGCAGGAGTGATTGAGTTTTCTGACGACATCAACGATGGCCGCGAGCGGGAATGATCTCGAGCACGATGTGAGACCAGGTTTTATGGATGCAGCCGTGGTTCGAGCAGAGGAAGCTAAGTAGTCGCGTCAACTTAACGCCGCTGCATTGACAACTGCCGCCATTCGCTGCACCCATGTCCAGCCATGTCCTCGCAAGAATATTGGGCGAGCAGTGTCGCGGACATACAATGGTGCATCTTTATATAGAGTCGGCATAATGTCGCAACTCTGCCATGTGTAAGGCCGCACAGCATAAACGTGCGGGGTCTAGGTTCAGCGACTCTGACTACATGCAGTAAACGTGTCCATAGGATAGCATACAGATATCGTCACAGAAATACTACAGCAAGCGTGATAGGTGGGATTACATACTTCCAAGCAACAACAACTCATCCGTGAGGATCCGTGCCAGCGTGATAGCTGCGGACGAAAATATTTCGAGAAAAATACAACAAACACGATTAAAAGCACGAGACCAAGCAACAAACTAAAAAATATGGCACGCAACACTTACGCAGCAGAAGCAGGAGCGGCCGTCTGGGGTCCCTGGCCTCTCTCCAGATCAGGAGGCAACGTAGGGGAAGCTGCATTGTTGCCTCGGAACGATATGTTTCGGAGGAATGCAGGGGCGGTGATCAGAGACCCTCGGGAAGCGGGAGCTGCAGCAGCTGGTGGCAGCGCGGCGGGGATAGAGGGTGAGGTCTCAGCGGGCGTGTCCCCGCCCTCCGTTGATGTCGACGCTCGCTTATCCATATCCTTGGACGCAGGGGGTGCGGTTGTGATGCGGAGCAACGACGTGTACGCTGCGGGAGTGGATTCAACTATGGCTAGAAAAAACAAGCGTTCGATACTCACGTTGTCTGCAGACAGGGCAGAACCATCCCTTGGCCTTTCTCTTCCTTCTCGGCGTAGGTTGGGGTGCAGCCGCTTCACTGACAGGCGCACCGGGGGCACCGTCCCCTGCACTGCCATCTCCGCTTGCAGCTGCACTCTCCGTATTGCCAGTAGATTCCTCGTTGTGCACTATGGCACCTCCCGCACCAAACTCGACCATGTTGATCGCACATTCCTTGCACGCCACTAAATGGCGACACGGGAGCAAGACGACTTCGCGGGGAGACGACAAGCAGACCAGACATTCAGACGAAGGTTCATCCTCATAGGACCCAGGCGCCGGCGCCGGGGGGTAGGTGTGAGTAGTGGGAGAGGCGGTAGGTGCAACCGGTTGCGACGGGGTCGACGAATACGAGGACAGCCCGTATATCTCGTGCAGGTGGAATGTGTGAGAGCCAATCTACATGCCATTAGATACGAGTCACCACGAGTCCAACAACTACGTACTGTGGCTTCGCGCTTGACGACCTTCACCACCCAAGGTCTCTTGTCTTCCTCAGCCGGGAGGTCGTCGACCTTCACGGGGGGCGCGCCGAACCTCACAATGTGGAGATACGTCACCTGCTCGTTCGCAATATCCAAAGGCTTCCCCTGTTCGTCCAGTGCGACGAGCTTGATGGCAACCCTGACGCCCTCGTTGTCAGAAGCGTCGCTGCCGTGCGCCAATTCCTTGTTCTCCGACGGTTCGGCGTCCGGAGTGTCAGGGACCGTCGGTGCCGCGGGCTGCGCGTCGACGACAGCGAGCGCAGGGCCTGCAACGGCCCGCTGGGCGTGCCGCTTGCGGAAGGGGAAGGCTGAGAACCGCCTCTTGCGTTCCGTGCTCCGCGCCGACGTGATGTCGGCTTCGGCGGGTGGTGCGCTCTGGCCCTGCACGTCTACTGAGGACGCCGACGGGTCTTCCGCCGGGCTAGTTGCGTTGGTATCCGTAGCACCGCCGTTCTCAAACCGCGCGAGCTCCAACATAGCCCCGTCTTCGTGTTTGAGGAATTTGCCAAACCCGCCCTCGGTGACGCTCTCGAAGACAAGGACACGGGCAAAGCCGTCTTCTGTGTTCTTCTCGTTTGCGAGCGGGTGATCGGACGGGAGAACGACATAGACGTAGATGCCACATTTGGGGGCATCACAGTCGTACTCGAATTCGAGCCCGTGGTGGTGCTCGGGATCCAAATGTGTGGGATCATCTGAGCTTTCGTCCTTGAACGGAGTAAGTCTTATGGTGGGTCGTTTGAGGTTTACTAGAGCTTGCAGCGTGGTCGTCGGTTGTGAGGTCTTTCAAGGATAAGAGAGCCGCAGTAATACAGTAGATTGTCGCGCACCTGTTTGCTCTTCTCCACCCAACTTCTGATGACCTCCGGAGTCAAGTCATCAGCCGCCGACTTCCTCGATGGCTGCTCCGTCCACGCTGGCCCAGTGCTGACGATCCCAATGTTTGGCCCGAACAGCGTGCTCCCTTCCTTCTGCTCCTTCTCTCCCGCAGCCGGTAGATTCGGAAGCAGAGTAACGTCGACCCGTCCCTGCGCCATCGCCGTCGCTGTCCGTGAGGTGGTCGTTTCTGGCCTGGCTACGAACGGGGCGGCATGCAACCGGCGGGTGCGGTTCCAAGAGGAGTACTGGCTATGATCTGTGGGGCGACAGAGAGGTCAACCGCAGCTCGTAGAGAAATACCAGCACGTCGGGCAACGCAGAGCAGCACACGATCTCACACCCACGCCCGCACCCAACTATAACGATTCAGACTCCCGCCTGATAACCAATGGCCCGTGAAACATCCGAGGGCTCGCTTGCTGCTCTGCGCTGCCGGCTGCAGACACTTACACCAGGTCGCAATAGTAGACATCACAGACAACCAATGTCTGCTAAGAATCGGAAGGTAAGCTGTGGGAGTACTGGCGCAGCAATTGCATACGATGCTGCTGACCGAGGCAGGCTATTATAAGGTGGAATCCGTCACCATTGCTCGGAGTCGCCGGAAGGATTGGAATTCCAAATGCGCTCAGTGCGCAGGACCCTGAGTACCGCATTCCCTGGTTGAATAAAAGCATGAAAACATGAATGTAAGCAATTAAAGAAGACTTGGGAGGACTACAAAACCAGCAGTGTCCAAAGACGTCATTCAAAACGAGCTAAGCGCACAACGTATTCACTCAGCCATGGAAAGCGACGTCGCCCTATCACCGTCACGAGCTGTACAATCGCTAATAAATTACAGAACCGCCGTGAACTGCAGTCAAGTAGTCAGAGAGAACGCAGCAGTAGAATTTTTAGACATTGCGTGCTTCTATGTATAAAGACAAAAAGCAGATAAAGTGGGTCCACAACCGTTGAAGGAAGTTCGACATATCTAAATCGGGCACCAGATTTACATATATGTACGTTAGTACGGATAACATATCTGCCTCGCATTTCCGTTGCTCATTGGGTGAGACGGTTTGTTAATGACGCTTGAGGGTTGAGTTACTGCAAGAGATCTGATGCTAGTGCCTCGTATCTTACGCTGTAATCTGTGTATTAAATAAATATGAAAGTAACTGCACCATACAGTGTGAACGCAGTATGCATTACGAGTCGTGCACTTAGTTCATAGTTTGCTTCTTTCCGAATACCTACCTGATCTCATCAGTCCAACCACAAAGCTGACTGCATGCTTGCAGCCAATCTATATTACAGGAGATGTGGCTTGTCCGTCGAATCCTGCCGATCCGAGCCACCCAAGGGCTGTTTGGGGTCCTAAGCATAAGAAGACTGGGCCCAGCGACGTGGGAGGCACAGCATCCTAACCGGCAGAGTCGGCAGAAAGCCAAGTCCTCGAAGCCACCGCTCTCGGTAACTATCAGGAAGGCAAGAAATCCGCAAAGCCAAGCAGCAGACGTACTGCACTACATTGCATAGAACTAATCATCAGTACAAAACAAGTTACAGTAAACATACAAGATACAAAGCACGAGAAGTGACCCAACAAACACCTCAGAAGTCCAGGTAATCTCGTCCACCAGCCCAAGTCGGTCCACCTGTCGAGGGACCGCCGTACGGGTCCTCCGAGACGACAGCGCCTTCGACGTCCTTGAAAGAAAACTCCCGCTTGAATTTCGCTTCCAGCGCCGTAAGCGTACCAATTAATTTCGAACACGCCTGCTGCAGGACGTCGGCCGGCGTGATGGTGCCGTCCGTTTGGATCTTCAGGATGAAATATGGTTGCAGGGGGTGAGGGACCTTATAACCAGCGAAGAGTACAGAGGGGGTCGCTAATAGTTGACTAGAACAGGTATGAGATGAAAGCGCTGACGGACACATGATATGTGTGAACTCACGAGCGAAGCATGTTCGCGAGGGTGTGGTCCTGCTTCACGACTTTGATAGTTGCAGCGTTAGGGATCTTCGTGTCCTCAATGATTTCAACCCTACATAGAGACAGCACCTAAGCATCGACATAGACAAGGAGTGAATGGGACCACTGACGCACGCCTTTTCGCCGTCCTCCAGCACAAACAGCTCCGAACGGTTAGGGGCATTCATAGTGGAAAGACAAGCAACTATGAGCAAGGCGTTAGCAACAACTTCGAGATACAAACAGAACAAGGCTAGGATCATATAGCAGTTGGACTAAGATTGTCTCTCCATTATGCATAAGCACTCGGCGGATTGACAGATTATGGTAGAAGTTCTAATCATTCGAAAGGAGGTAATTCCTTAAGAGTACTCACCCTATGCGACCAGAGGCGACTGGGATTAGATATGTGGCCAACCCATGGAAGAAACGTAAGTCAGTACGCGTCTCACTTCAGGCATAAAAATGGCGAAAAATGAGATGTCAGAACACGTGTTGAAATCATAAGGATCATAGACAATAAATATCGGCTCAAAGGCCCATCATTCTGTACAGCAAACCGAGCCATTACGACGCGACTCACCGTAAGGATATCGCGCAGAACGAGGACAGCGACGAAGAAAAACAAGTGTGGCGGGAGAGGTCACACAGACGTCACGGCATGCCGAACGGTCGGAGATTCAAATTCCGGTGAGAGTAGCCGGCCAATCTCGAGAGTGTATCCATTCGACACCCTCTTCGTCCTCCTCAAGGTGAGTTATGCTCGTTTTCCGCTCTGCAACGCTTCCAGACGACTCTGCACGACCTTTGAACGCTGTTCGTTTTTGTTCGGGAGCGAGGGGTCGAGTTTAAGGCGGTGGATGCGTCGGACGGAGCCCGGATGCGTTGATTAGGACGAAGTGCTGATCGACAGCCTTGCCCTCGTTAGAAAATGCCCACCCGATTCTCCAACACTCGCAAGCACCGTGGCCACGTCTCGGCCGGTCATGGACGTGTGGGCAAGCACCGCAAGCACCCAGGCGGTCGCGGTCTCGCCGGTGGTATGCACCACCACCGGTAAGGAGGATTCACTTTATCCTGTACCTGGCGCGGAACTCACGACGTCTCGTGTATGCGCGCAGTATCAACTTCGACAAGTACCACCCTGGTTACTTCGGTAAGGTCGGTATGCGCCACTTCCACCTGACCCGCAACGCACACTGGCGCCCGATCATCAACGTCGACAAGCTATGGACGCTTGTGCCGGATGAGGAGAAGGAGGGCTTGAACGAGAACTCGGAGGTGGTCCCTGTTATTGACACGCTGCGTCACGGGTACGCAAAGGTTCTGGGTAACGGACAGTGAGTTGAGCTTCCTGGTGTTTTTGGCCTGCTTTGCCTAATCTTGTTCAGATTACCCAAACTTCCCTTCATTGTAAAAGCACGGTTTGTCTCTCAGATCGCGGAGTATGTGAACTCGGATCTCCTTCACGTTGCTTTCACTCACTGTACTGCTACAGGCGGAAAATCAAGGAGGCTGGCGGTGTCGTTAAGTTGGTTGCATGAGTGTTCTGCTGTCATTTGTCTCATTTCTCTACCATCCTACGGCATACAGCATATGTTTTACTATGACGATTCCGCGACTCGCTATGTCATGCTTTTTACCGGCAAGTTGTGTGAGCGTCTGCTTACCTGGCGTAGGTATTCCGCCTGTCGCCCAGAGGCTCTCCAGGAATGATACTGTTCGTTAATGATCATGGCAAGGTTTGCTGTGGATGCCGGAAGTGGAGAACATCACTATGCTATAGTTCACTCTCAAGGACGAGCGGAAGTCGCTTTCTACCCAATAGGGGAAGTCACGGTGCTCGTTTTAAGGACCGTTTTAGCCTCGAACACGAAATCCGTTTTAGCCTCGTTTCTGCAAAACGGCTCTGGAGCCGTTTTGCACAAATCGCGAACACGGTTTTCGTTTTAGCTCGGCATCTCTCGGCATTTCAGTTTTAGGTAAGCTCGGAGTCGCAAATCCTCTTGCCATATCTAGGCTTAACTGAAGCCTTGGAGAACTTATGTCCCCTCCCGAGTGTCTAGTTTGTGCTGGGAAGTGACAGTGTCCTTCTGTAGTATATACCAAGTGTTTAAAACCATCTCAACTTAAAGAGTGCTGTACCTTAAAGAGGAATCACGGCTCTACATTGGAACTCCGCCTACAGTCAGTGGCTGTAAACGTTGTGTAAACGCGTGCTTGAACGAAGCGTTGAACTGCCCACAAAACGGATTTTATGTGGGGTGGTCACGGTTGATTTCGGTTTACGATGCGTTTTAGAGGTCGACAACGAAATGCAAAACGGACGCTAAAACGGCCTTAAAACGCCAAC